ATTTATACAAAGTCTTATATAGCCAATACAACCAAATCGGGGAAAAGAACAGAAGAGTGGTGACCTCTTAATGGTACATGGGTAGGGATTAATTGGCAAAAATGTATGAGTAATTTGCTGAAGTGACTGTAAGATACTACATCTTAACTGTGAGTTGACTTATTCAAGTGTGTGAACTTCACAAAACTCATTGGATATTATACTTAAAAGTAATGCTTTCATTGTAAATAATCTTAGGGCTGGGATATAGCTCAGTGGAAGAGCATTTGGGTAGCATGCACAAGGCTCTAGGCTCAATACCTAGCATCACAATAAAAAAGTGATCACTGCAATTTTGTGAACAGGGGGCATAACCGAATACTGAATTAAACTTAATAGGTACACATACCTACAATGTAGACCGAAGTATATTTAAAAATTGGATTGATGGATGCATAAAAATACAAATATGTGATAAAATCAACCCAGTAAATTATAAAGTCCAGACTGTACATATATGGGTGCTAACAATAAAACTTTTTTATTTCTATCAATAAGTATTGTTTTATCAGAGGTCTGTGAGCCAACACTAAATCTTGCCATTAAAAAAAAATAGGTGCCTGGCTTTACTTTTTGATCAGTATTGGTTAGAATATCCCTATTCAAGGGTTAAAGGATTGATTAAAAATAACTTTAAATGAAAAGTATATCCTCTGTCCTTCCTTTCTTCCCTCCTTGCACATGAACTGAACGCCTAACATATGCCAGGCAAAAAAAGAAAAATTTCAAACAAAAACCTGAACACTGTGAACCTTCATTTGGAGGGAAAAATGCCTATGTACAATTCATATCCCTTTGTATTTTCACTTAAGCTCAAGAGCACAGGAACACAGTTTAGTAAGAAGTTCTCTAGATGTAAAACACCATGTAACTACACAGCCCAAAACTCTGAACATTTTTCCTAGAGAAGAAATACAGCATGGAATGGTTTGCAACAGGCCACAATGGAAAAAGAAGATCTTTAGGACTCAGATAACACTTCATGCTGTGATCTAATGATCAATGTCCTCCATGTTCGAGCCCCACCTTACATTCTCACTTCATCATCCACATCTCTCAGCTATGAAGCTTTCCCTAAATCTCTACTCCTCAAACAGTATCTTACCTACTCATCTTCAAAAAGTCCATAATTCTCTGTATTTCTCTTATAAACCTTATGAAATTGTGTCTATTAGAAAGAAAACTAGTAAAAGGCTTGAGTCTCAGGAAATCAATTCAACCTACTTACCCTAGGGAAGTTACTTGATATTGTTTCTTCATAGGTAAACTGTGGTAACAGAACATTATCACACAGGGATATTGTGAGGATTTTATGCTTAGCCTCATATATGAACTACAGGGTAAAAATTATTCTTATTCTTTTGATTGTTACTATTCTCTACTCCTGAAACATTAGTTTTCATTACCCTTATATTTCATTATCATGTTTGCATGTACTCATAATAGCAATTAACTTCCCTCCCTATCAAAGTACATCAACAGCAGCAAACCCAAACTCTCCTTTATCCCCATTAAAATAGTCAACTCTGACCAATGTCATGTTTCACTTGCTTAGAGACTTTCTAAATATTCATCTTTGTGACCACTTTAATCTCATGTATACTAAGCTGTAAAATTGAGAAGTTTATTCCATGGTGAAATCTCCAAACAATAACAGGAAACTACTTCTACTCTGACCAAAATAAACAGGAGGAAGAGAAAGGAGCTGGGGAAGAAGGAAAAACAAAAGACTTTAGATGTTCATGCCCTGACCTCCATTACACAGCAATAAATATTAAATGTCTAATCCTTACTACATGACTATCAGAATATGGAACCTGCCTAATAACAGGTCACTTAGTCAGTGGGATTAAACTGCAACCCAAGGTTCCAAATCCTTTCTTTGACAATAAAACAGTTGGGCTCAAAATAAAAAGGACAGACGGTAAACAGAATTCTAACAGCAACATATTCAACAAAATCACTCATCAAACAAAGTGATAAAAATCACGATCGTGCATCAGAATAGGATGTTACCTATCAGATGTGATTCAGGGGGTAATTTTCAAACTTTCTGAGTCAAAGGCACAAAGAGAAAATAATGTATAAGGAGAAGCTCTGTTCTCCTTATTCTGTTGATATTAAAAATATTTTCTCTGTTGATATTAAAAATCTCTCTCTCTGTTGATATTAAAAAATATCTCTCTCTAAAAAACTAAAACGGTTTCTCTAAAATGATATCACTGAGAGACAGCATGAACTCCATAACTCAAAAACCTTGCTGAGACACTGAAGCCACACTTGGCAAAAATAAAGCACCAAGGAGAATCAAAACATCAACACCCTGAACCCCTAGCTATGGAAAGCATCTGCACACCAAGTTACACTGAAAAAATAGGTGGGCTGCCGCTACCACCAGATACCAGCTCCAAACCTACTTGAAAGACATTCCATGGATCACACAGGTGAGCACTATGTGTCATGCAGTATACCCCAGCCACCCCTGGGATAAACCATCATAGCTGCCTGGGCAGACTCATCCCCCTCTCAAACACCATAAAAAAACTGAATAATGAACAACAAAGTGAAAACTAGAACACAGCAGAGGGGGGCAGGAACTCTGAAAGCACACTGGAGAAGAGGGGAGAGGCAATTAGCTAATCTCTGCATGAACTATCAGTAAACAAAGGCTGGAAAGGCAGGAAGGCCAACAGTGAGCAGGTGATAAGCCACTGCCTGAAGTAGGGCAGGTAGTGGATCACAAAGCTCATCTCCTGAGCCAGTGAGCAACACCCAAAGTCAAATGGCTCCACAAAACTGAAAAACAAATGGTGAACTATCACAACAGGGGGCCGACTGACCTTGGCCCAGAGAAAGCGGGGCAAGGGAAAGAAATAAGCCCCCAGTAAACAAGTACAGCAAATAGTCACCTCCAAAGCAGCACAGCTAGTAGACTACAGAACTGATCTCCTGAACCTGAGGAAAGCATGCAAACTTAGACTGTCACACCTCACTGAGGAGGAGCTGACCAAGCACCTGCCAGTGAAAGACAGAAGAAAAAAACACTACCCACAAGCCAACCACCTGCTGAGACTATGACAAAGCTTCTGCTTAAATACCAACATCAGGATTGGACGCTGGAGGAGTAACACCAGAACTTAAACTAAGACTGAAATTCTATTGTTCCTGAAACTGGAGTTTGTTTGTTTGTTTGTTTTGTTTCATTTGTCCATCTTTCCCCATTGATTTCTTTAGGTTTTTTTGTTGTTGTTGTTGTTCCTTTTATTGCTGTGGGTTTCCTATTTTTACTTTTACTTCTATCATCCTTTTTTATTTTTTCTTTTCATTTTCTATACCTTCTACTTAACCATCATTGTCCCCTCAACCCTACTCTCACCCTCTTTCTCTCTCCATCCTTCTGTACTAAAACCCATTGCTCCCCTATCCCACAACTTATTCTGACCCCTCTCATCACCTTCCCCTCTCATTCTCCCTTAACCTGTCACCAGACTACCCCCCTCCTTCACACTCATCACCCACTCAACAACCTACTGTACAAACTTTACACAACCCCAAACCCCTACAATCCCTAACACAAACACCCTCTTCTACAACAGAACTATATCCAAACATACACAAGGACCACA